ATAGGTCTCGATCCCGGAACCTCCGGGGGCATCAGTATGTGCTTTACCAGTAGTGCCTAACCTATATGTATGTATGTATAAATATGTATGTCTCCTCCCCAACCCTCCTCCCCACCCCCCTACCCCAAACCCCTACCCCAAACCCCCTACCCCACCCCCTCTACCCCAACCCCCATATCCGGCAGCCCTGTGTCTCACCTTCGTGGCCTCATGCGGCCAGCTGGGGTCCGCGCACGAGGTGTCCCTGCTGCCGGGGGGCGCGGGCGAGGACGTGGCGGTCACCGCGGCTAACCGGCGGGACTACCTGCAGCGCCTGGTGCGGTTCTACTGCACCTGGGGGTGCAGCTCTCGACACGGGAAGGTGATGGCGGCGACGGAGGAGGAGGAGCAGGCACAGGAGCAGGAGGACAAGACCCGTGGGGAGGCGGAGGCGGAGGCGGAGGGGGGGCCGGACGCGGAGGCGGAGGCGGAGGCGGGAGGGGGAGGCAGGAAGGGGGCCGGAGATGGTGGCGGCGGCGGTGGCAGTGGCGCGGAGGATTGGCAGGAGTACGAGCTGGATGCGGTGGGTGCTGCGTGGAGCACCTGAATGTGTGTGTGTGTGCATGTATGTATGTATGTTTGTGTGTATGTGTGTATGTGTGTACTTACTTGAGCTTGACTTCGTTGCCCTTAGCTACCTCTCCCTAATCACAGCTAATACATACATACATACATACATACATACATACATACATACATACATACATACATACATACATACATACATACATACGTACGTACGTACGTACGTACGTACGTACGTACATACATACTTACTTATAGGTTTCGGCACTACTGGTACAGCTCGCACCATTGCCCCCGGGAGATCCCGGGATCGAGACCTGTCAGGGTCGAAAATCCTTCCGATAGTGGAGGATAAGAGTGCCCCTAGTCGATGGACGGTGGTGACCTGCGATATAAAGTTGACATGTGAGCTGACCAGGAATGGAGTTGGGCCGCCGTAGATCCGGCAGATTCCGTTGGATGCTGGTGGTGGGTGCCGAACCTGAGCGATCCACTGAGAAGTTGGCTAGGGTGACTGGATGAGGGTGTGCCCCGAAATACCGGGGAAGGCAGGGCTTCGCCAGGTAGCGACCGCAGGGTGAAGATATGACCCCCCTGTCCCGCACATCATACGTTTTCCCTGGACGTGTCCTAGGTTACGGCTCTAGCCCAGGGTCTTGCCGAGTCGCTATTCCGTATGCCGGACGAGGAGGAGGACGACCGGGTGCAGCAGCTGGCCGCGCGGCTGCGGGGCATCAGCGCAGCCGCCTTCAACAGCCGGCTGGGCGGGGAGGTGGGGGGCATTGATGTCGAGGCGTGGCGCAACCACAGCAGCGCACCCGCGTTCAAGAGTGACAGAGAGCAGGTGAGGGTGTGCGGTGCGCGGAGGGGGGGTGTGTGGGAGTAGGCAAGAGGGGTGGGGGTGGGAAAGAGGAGGGGGCGGGTGGAGGGGAGGAAGGGGGGGGGAAAAGGGTAATGAGGGGGAGGGGGGTCGAATGCGTGTTGGTGGGCGGGAGGCCTAGACCTGAGCTGCTGCTGCTGCTGTTGCTACTGCTGCTGTTGCTACTGCTGCTGTTGCTACTGCTGCTGTTGCTACTGCTGCTGTTGCTACTGCTGCTGTTGCTACTGCTGCTGTTGCTACTGCTGCTGTTGCTACTGCTGTTGCTGTTGCTGCTACTGCTACTGCTACTGCTACTGCTGTTGCTGCTACTGTTGCTACTGCTACTGCTGTTGCTGCTGTTGCTGCTGTTGCTACTGCTGTTGCTGCTGTTGCTACTGCTGTTGCTGCTGCTGCTGTTGCTGCTACTGCTGCTGTTGCTACTGCTACTGCTGTTGCTGCTGTTGCTACTGCTGTTGCTGCTACTGCTGTCCTTCATGCTATCCACCAAGGATATGGACTGGACTTGGGAGCCCCCTGATGAGGGCCACTCGCAGACATACACACAGACGTCGGTTATGGTGTTTTTCTTTTTTCTCAACACTTGCTAGTGGGCCCACCGCCCACCACTCGTACTGCACTGCACCTGCAGGCCGTGCTCAAGGTGTTTTGGGAGGTGGTTTCGGAGCTCTCTGCGGAGGAGCAGCGGCGGCTGCTGCAGTTCTGGACGGGCCTCTCCCACCTGCCCGCGGGCGGCTTCAAGCACCTGAGCCAGCACCTGCAGCTGGTACCCGCGAGAACGGGGCGCGACTGCTCAGGAGGGGGAGGGGGAGGAGTGCCGTACGAGGACGCCGCGAGTACGGGTCCTGAAGCGGGTTCTTCCTCCGGGCAGGTCACGACCAGCAGCGGCAGCAGCAGCAGCAGTAGCAGTAGCAGCAGCAGTAGTAGTACTAGTACTGCTACTGCCATGACCAGCAGCAGCACCACCCCCACCACCACTACGGGCAATGGTGGTGGTGATGGTGCTGATGGTGGTGGATCTGGCGGGGTGGTGGTGGTGGGTGGTAGTGGCAGTGGTGATGGCAACGATCATGGGGAGTCTAGAGGGGGTGATGGGGCCGATGGGGGCGAACATCAGGTACTCGCGGATGCGGATTCCGGTGGTGGGGCAGAGCAGGGCAGCGCCGGCTCGTCTGGTTCGGATGCAATCACCTCACCTACTGAGCAGCAGCAGCAGCGGCAGCAGCAGCAGCGGGAGGCGGAAGAGAACGCAAACCTGGTCCAGGGTGAGAGCAGCAGCGGCAGCAGTAGCGGTAGCGGCAGAGGCGATGATGTGGGAGGTAGCAGCAGCAGCAATAGCAATAGCAGTAGCAGCGGCGGCAGCGGCGGCGGGGATGGAACTGGTGACGGCAGCGCGGGTGGCAGGGGGCCGGCAGCTTCGCTCGCAGGTAGTGATGGCAGCGCCCCCCCCGCCCCCGCTCCCGCCTTTCACAGCCGGGCGGGGCCCCGTGGCCCCACGTCGGGCCCCATGCTCCTGGCGGCACACACGTGCTTCTTCCAGCTGCGGGTACCGCTGCTCCCGGACCGGGCCGCGATGAGGCAGGCAGTGGTGGAGTCGCTCGCAAACCTGGGCGCCTTCTGGGACGAGTGAGCGGTTGGGAGCGGTTGGGAGCGGTTGGGAGCGGTTGTGCGGCTGCGTATATACTTTGCGGGAGTTCCAGCACGTTGCAGTGCCGTCTGTGTGTATGTATGTATGTATGTGTGTGTGTGTGTGTGTGCGTCAGATACGTGTTGGGCCTTATTTGGATTTTCCGTGGTACGGCGGCTACCTGGGCTTGCTTGTGCATTCCGTGAAGTGTGGAGAGTGCAGGAGGAGGGCGAGGAGGATTGGAGGAGGATTGGAGGAGGATTGGAGGCGCAGGAGGCGCAGGAGGCGCAAAATTAGCAGCAGGAGGATGGGAGAGGGACAGCAGCAATAGCAGCAGCAGGAGCAGGAGGATGTGGAGGTGGAGGAGAAGTTGGGGGCGAGGAGAGGGTTTTGGCGGTCACGGTGTGCACCAGTTGGTGCGGTGCATGTTGGTTATAGCGTTGATTGGTTGGTTCGTTGGAGACCGCAAGGGGGGGACGGTGTGCGTGCAGTCGCGCTGAGCGCGGTCTCTGAGAAGGCGGCTTCGCAGTGGCCTCCCTCTCGCGCCCATCTCTCTCTTGTCATACGTCGTACGCTATGTGGTACATACATACATACATATATACATATACAGACGTGTACATGACGTACCTAGTTTGTACCGGCGGAAGCGGTGTACAAAGAACTCGGCAGGTTCCCAGCGAAGAGGAGGAGGAGGAGGAGGAGGAGGGGCGATGTACCTTTTCAATCGGGATTTTGGCGTTGCCAAAGGGCTACGGGACCACGTGGGTGGTGGTAGTGGTGGTGGTGGTGGTGGTGGTGGTGGTGGTGGGGAGCTTTTGGGAAAACGGAAGCGAACAGTTGTGGCGGCGCGCACTAGCACGCACTAACACGCTATTTCCTGGTGCGGAGAGAGGGTGGGTGGTAGTGGTAGTGGTAGTGGGGGGGTGGCTGCCGGCAGCTTTTTCGGGAGCGGAGTTGTTGTGCGGGAGTAAAGTAGGGGGGTGGTAGAGGGGGGTCCAGGAAGCGGAGGTGTCTCTTCGTCGCTTTCTTTTTCCGTTGGGGGGTTGAGGCCACGCCGGGTCCGGGGGGTGGGGAGCGGGAAAGCGGGGATGTTAGGTGTCGTGCCGTGTCGTGTTGCGTCAGGGCAGCCAGCGTGTCTTCCGGATCTGCGGGATCGCTATCGGGCGTGTGTATATGTGTGTATGTTGTGTTGTGCTGTAAAAGTTGGTAAGACTATCGTATCTTGCCGCGTGTGTATAAGTGTATGTATGTACGTATGTATGTATGTATGTGTGTGTCGTTCGTGGTCTGAAAGGACCTTCAGTGAAGGTTACGGTGCTGCCATGATGTGCCGTACGAGTCCGCTGCCGTGCGGCACTTTCTCCGGAAACGCAGTTTCGGTGCTCCCTACAAGGTAGAAGGGATGCCAGAGGAAGGGGAGGGGGGAATGGGGTTGTGACAGCTCTGGCTGGCTGGCGGGCTGGTTCCCCCAAGATCCCTGCTGGTGAGAGAGGAGGTGTAAGAGAGAGTGTGTGTGTGTGTGTGTATTTGTGTAATTGTTGTTGTGGTTTCACCCGCAGAAGCAGCGCTGCTCCCCGCGGTCCTCATATCGGCCAACTGCGCCGCCTTCCCCCCTCCTCTCTCCCGTGTCGCTCGTTCTGTTTCTTTTTATTTCGTGGAGAGAATGCGCCGTTGGGGATGGTGGGTGCATCCAGCCTGCTTTTCCTTCAGTCATTCGCGGACGCGGAGGAAGATCGCACGCGATGTGCGACGTGATAGGCTGGCCGTACCGCCCGTGCGAGCACACTCTGTATACCGAGTATATAGTACGGCCTAACAGCAGTACAGCAGTACAACAGTACAGCAATGCAACATGGAGGGGGGGCCCCATAGACTGATTTTAGCTGTCGGAAAGGAGCACTGAAAGAGAACAGTCAGGATAAGCGCGTTGCGACGGGCGCGCTGCATTGCGTGCCCCGGCTTTTACCCCCCCCCCCTTGTGCTTCTCGATGATTTCCGCGAGCCGCGAGGAGGGGGAAATGGATGGATGGAGTACCGTAGTCCCACCACCAGCGAGACGTGTCGTTAAGACATTTTTCCAAAAAAAATTGTGGTCGGACGTGGCTGCTTGAACGATTTAGTTAAGATGTTGATTAAAAGAGTGACACCAAAAATCCGTTGAGAAATAACTGCCGGCGGCGTTATAGAGCGGACAAGTGAATGTGTCGGTTAGGAAACCGCCTACGGCTCCCGCTTCGACAGCTGGCCGGCTTCAAACCGCTGCACCAACGCGACCTCGCCCAGGGCATTGCTTTCTGAAAATCCATTTTACATTGGCCCTTCGCGGTGCGTGAATCCGCGATGATTCGGTGAGGTTCCCAGGCCCCCCTCGCTCCGCACCCTCCTCCACATTCCACCCAACCCCCCCCCCCCCACACACACACAAACGTATTCTTTCCCCGGGGTGGTGCGGGGTCCGAACAAAACTCTACCCTTAACAGTAAGACGGGAAAGAGCCGCAACAGATCCCCACCATCATCATCGCCATCGTCACGACCACCATCGTCACCATCATCATCATCATTCTCCAGTAACGCGGACTATTGGCTGATTGGCCTTTCCAGGCGAGGCTGCTCTCCCAGCCAGTTACCCTCTCCGTTTCGGTCAGGGGACGGGGGAGATATCCCCCGATGGAAGTGGTGGCCTTCCTCCAGCCCCCTGACCTCCACCCCCGCGCGAAATAAATGCCTCAAATCCTCAGTCTACTGCCCACCTCCCGCGAGGCAAAACACATCGTACGCTCGTGCGATTGATTGTTGTGAATCCAATCGAACGAACAGCCTGTTCCGACTTCCGAATGGCTCTTACACCACCATCTAACTATGGACAGAGCAGGAGCAAACTTTAACCGATTTGAAAAGCACCAGGAGCCGTGTCAATCTCAAGACAATCCCAAATGCTGCGTGCTAACCGCGCGGCCCCAAACGGCGCCTTTACAGCCTTAGGCCGCCGCCGCCCTGAAGGGACCCCCCGTGCGGAGAGACGCCGCCGTCCTTGTCCACGGGGTGGTAGGGAGTCGCCTTCTGGTCATCCAGCAGCGGCCGCTCGCGCTCCACCGCCTCTGCCAATCCGTGTGGGCGAAGCTGCTCGGTTGTAACATCAACCATCTCCTGCGCCGGCAGGTCATGTAATGAAATCAGATTAGGACGGAATATAATAATGTTCTTGGTTGCTTGAATTCAAAAGTGGCATGTGCACGAGGTGACAGACCACACGCGCAGTGAAGTAGTCAGCGCAGAGCCAGCATCCAGCATTGGAATTTAGATTTGAGCGGCAGTGGTTCTGCTGCGCGGTGCAACAAATTGGGAGCGAAATTTGTGAAGAACAACGCCGAAAACGTGGGCGGATGAAGGAGAAGCGGTTTTGGAAGTGATTTTACTTATCTCAACAAGAGTGCGGCCCGCACTACACAACGGGCGGTCCGCCAAAGGGGAAGGACACCGCTACCGCCCAGGCCGCCGGTCAAACTTACCGCTGTGGGATTGTATTCGGGCGCATCTGGACCGCGCTTGAGCTTATCGCCGTGCGGCTGCAGCTTGGAGTGATTGTCAGGGATAGGGCGGTCTTGTTCAACAGCGCTTCGAAGGCCCACTTCGTTGCTGCTGGGCGGCTGCGGTAGCTGTTTTGCTGACTGCATCGTTCTGTGCTCTCAGACCGTGAGAAGCTATGGAAAGGGGCTATCGACACCAAAAAGCCAAAAACAGAAAGTCACGTTTCTTCCTTCTTTTATCGTAAAAGCTTCGCGATCAACTCCAATTTATATAATACCCGAGCGACGTTAAATTTTCTGTCTTCCTGATTGGATTCCCTCTCTCTGGTCTTAAAAGGGTGACTTTTTCTTTACTAGAAGCTTGATACTTGGCCATGACGGTCAGGGAGCCCTCGGACTACTGACGAGGTCCGCTATCTGTGCAAAGTCGTCGTCCAAGGGAGGTCGTCCACTGGAGGACCCGCGGGTCGCTCAACGAGACTCAACACGTCCCCACGCTCGCTCGCTCGCTCGCACACATACACACATACAGACAGACACAGCCGCGTGTCTCGGCTCCAGGCCATCACGGAAGCCATCGTCCACTGTCCACTGCACCATTCTCCATTCGGATCCGAAGCTATATAGGCCGACATTAAATTACATAATATGTTGTGTCGGACAGTCCAAGAGGGGGATGTTTGCGGTCCCTTACTGCAGCACCACCAGCAGTAGCAGCAGCAGTAGCAGCACCAACGTCACACCCTTGGTGACGAAAGGCAGCAGCGGGTGCTGCTGCTGCTACTGCTGCTGCTACCGCCAGCGACCCGGGTTGCTTGCGGCCGGGGACTTCACGCAGGCGCGGGGACCTCACAGTCCTCCTAATCCTAATCCTAAAATCCGCCTAAAAAGCGGTAGAGCGGCCCCCACCCCTCACCCCGCGTGTGAACCCGTCAGCTCTGAGATGAGAGCGAAGCAGCCGCCAAGAGTTCGTCCGTCAGTCCACCAGTACGTCAGTCAGTCAGTCAACAAGTCCCTCTTCCCCGGGCTGCGGGAGCGCTCTCTCTCTCGAACTCTCTGGAGTATCTGTATTTACACTGCCCCACTACCCTCGAAAATGAAGACCACCTGTACGGCACCTGTACGGCACTGGAAATGAATGAGTGGCGGAAAAACCCCGCCGGTGGCGTCTCCTCTCCTCCCAGCCTCTCCTCCTTGACCCACCTTTTGTTGACATACATACAAACGTACAGGGCGATCTCTCGCTTCAGGTACCGCACGTACATGCCGTACAGCCAACATGTTAGGATACATGACAGCCAATCGTTGGATGCACCGTCTGGTAGGATGCACAGTACGAAATGTACGGCGATGTTATCCGAAGAGATTGCATCGCCTCACACCCAGTATACTGCGGCTGGAGGTGCAACAGCCCCCACACTCCTTCCCCAACCCCCCATAACCCGGCTGTCCCTCGCAGACTAAGAACTGCACACACACATACATACACATACATACATATACACGCACACGCACTTGTATGTGTCAGTGTGTTTCTTTACAAATGTGTACAGGAGGGAATGAACGTCCCGAACCGGACGCCATGACTGACTCTCCGTACTGTACGACGACGCGGCCATGGCGGGTACTCGCCCAACCCAAGTACTCCTGTGCCGCCTTTCCTCCAGGGTTTTAATGATCCATTTCCGAACAGCCACACAGCCCTGCAGCCCCATATTTCGTTCTGTTTAGATCCGTCTTCCAGTTTCGTTGCCCAATAGGGCCCTGTCCTGTACGGCCCTGCTTGTGACAGTCAACCGAGTTGCAGCTGCCTGTTGTCAGTTGTCAGTTGCGAAAATGAAAACCACCTGTACGGCTGCCCTCTCGCCACCGTTGCTAGTTGGCTCCCCCCACCCCCGAGTTGGCTCCAGCAGCATGCAGCGGAAACATACATACAACCGTACATATATACCGTACATATATACCGTACATACATACATACATGTACGGCAGCGGCAGTGAGATACTTTCAGCTGCCAGTTTAAACGCCTCCACACACGACCCCAACATGCGCGGCTGCCGTACATACCCGAGAGGTACGAGACCCTGATCACCCCTCGCCCCCATCCAAGCTCTCCCCGAACCCCCCGCAGGTGCCTCAGGGGCCTCAGGGGCTCCGAAACCCCCACAACCCCAACAACACCCACAACATCGACAACCCCGACAACGCTGCCATGGATAACATTCCGCCCCCACATCCTCATTCTCAACCGCACCCTCAAACCGCCCGTCCCCCTATTCCCGCGGCTCCCCCACTCACCCCCAGCCGCAATACCGTGCCCCGGTCGGCCCCCAGACCCTCCCCACCCCCCGCACGACGAACCGCCAGCAGCGGCAACCGATCCGGGGGGGCCTCCGCCGCCAGCGAGTTGGGGCGGCACTCCCACGCCACCCTGTACGGCTCATCGCATAGCAAGGCCTCATGCGGCGTCACTGCCAACGGTACGGGAACTGACGGCGGCGGTACGGCACTGGCGGGTAGTCCCACCATGAGCGCCGCCACAGCCCGGCTGTTGCGGCCGCCGCCGCCGCCGCCCTGCGGCCTCAGAGCCGTACGTCCAGCCCCCAGAGCCTTGCGTAGCGCGGGGTCGGCGTAGCCGGGTACGGCATACAGCATTGGGCACGGTCGCAGCGACGCCAGTACGGCGGCTGTGGCGGCTGCTGCCGCCGCGGCCGCGGCGGCATGCTGCTGGTGCATGGATAGTGCCGCCGCTGCAGCGGCGGCGGTGGCGGAGGAGGCGCGGCTCGAGGATTCCTGAAGTGCAATGGAGTCCGAGGCGGAGGCGGAGGCAAGGCCGCCAGCGGCGGCGGCAGCGCCGCCATTCACCACCGTTGCCGCCGCTCCCGCCTGGCTGCCCGCCGCCCCTGAGTACGACGATACGGCACTCTGCGCCTCCAACAGCAATCCCACGCTGGGCAGCGCATGCAACGCGTCCAGGTTGCTGCTGCCGCCGCCGCCGCCGCCAAGGCTTCCTATGCCAGTGAGGCTGTTGCTCCCGGCTACGACGCCGCCTGACCCCGGCAGTAGCAGCCCCAACCCCACGAACCCCAGTCCGGTTCCCCCCGACCCCAACGGCACCTCCAAGTCACGACAGAGCAAACCAAGAACACCCACGCTGCGCGGCGCAGCGATCGGGTAGCTACCGCCGGCGGCCCCCCCTGCCGCCGCCGCCGCCGCCGCCGGCCCCGATGGCTTATCGGAGGGACGAGCTGCCAACCGTGACGAGGCAGAAGAACTGCCGCCGTCCAACGAGCCCCCCGCCGCCGCCGCCGCCGCCGCCACCGCCGCCGCCGCGCCGCTCCCGGCGGCGTCCGCTGGCGGCTGCAGAGATAGCCTGCAAGCCACGTTGTTCGGATGCGTGTTCTGCTCGTACGCGAACGCCCGTCGGAGGCATACCAGCAGCGCTGCTGGCCGAGCCAAGTACGACATATCCACGACGGCGGGGCGAAGATCCACGTCAGACGAAGTTACTTCCTGAAGTTGCCGTACCCTTGCATTCAGATCCAGGTGCCATTGCTCCAGAGTTACGGCATGTACGGGATGGCGGCCGCCAGGCGGCAGAGCTATTAGCGCACCGCCGCTGCCCCGGCTGCTGCGCCCGCCGCCAGCGCCGTTGCCGACAACGTGCGCTTCACCGCCGCCGCTGCCGCTGGTCCCACTGCTACAAGGGTGGTACGGCGCCGGTGGCAGGTGCCAGCCCGGCGGCACGAAGCCGGCGGTGATATAGCGCAGCAGGTGCCGTACACCTGGCGTGTCGTGAAGCCCGGGATGCGCTGTCGCCGCCGCCAGCTCCTCTGCACCGCCGAGTGCGCCGCACACAGCGCCGTGCAGGGCACGTACCTCCGCTACCCAAAATTCCGCAAAAATAGCGGACAGGTTTGCGGACAGCGTCGGCACCGCCCGCACCGCCGCCGCGGCGCCGGCGCCCGCGCCCGCTGCCGCCAGGCCAGCTGACGTCGCCGGCCCTCCTTTCTCAACTCCGCCGCTGCCGCTGCCGCTGCCGCTACCCAGGCTGCCGATGGCGGCCAGGGCAGACCCCTCAGGCGGCGGCAGCCTGGATTCCAGGCTCAAACGTAACGCCCGTAGGAGAAGCTCAATATGGCGCAGGGAGTCTAGCAGCGGCGAAAGTACGGCAGTGGCCCAAAGGTCCAGCAGTGCCAGCTCCGGAGCCGGGCTGGCTGCCGTAGAGGTCGTAAGAACTGCAGCCATTCCGGGAGTCCCTGGCGACGGCACACCCGATAGCGACCCCGCCGTCGCCGCTGCCGTACTGCCGGAGGAGCTTTCCGCCCGCGAGCCTAGCTGCTTCAGGGCATCCGCCGGACCGGCGGGCGCGAACCGCAGGGCGCCGCCGCCGCCGCCGCCGCCGATATGGGAGTTGGTGGTGTTGGGCCGCGAGTCCCAAGCAAATGCGCCGCGCCAAGGTGCGGACAGTACGGCACCGGGGCCGCCGCTGCCGCCACCGCTGCCCGCGGCATTCAAGATGGAGCGCAGCTGCTGATGTACGGAACCGGGTGTGCCGCCGCTGCGGCTTCCCGGCACTGCCGACGCCAGCCCAAACACCGTCGACGCGGTGCCGGGTCGCGGCTGCAAGCAAGCCAGTCGGGGCGTCAGGTGCGGCGGCGATACACCGTTCGGGGTGATGCTGACGGTGGTGATGGTGGCGACGGCCTCACCGACGGTGGCGGCCTCACCGCCAGCACTTTGGACGGTACGGCTGCCGCCGCCGGCGGCGGCGCTCTCCAATGCGCCGACGGCGGGCGGGATCAGGGCAGCTTGCTGCAGCTGCACCAGGCGCTGCCGTGCACTGACGCCTGACAGCATGACCCGGAGCTGATGGAGCGGCGTCATGGGGGTGGCGGGTTTGGAGCTGCCGCCACCGCCGCCGCCACCCTCCAGCACCAGGACCTGTGACTCCACCGGCGCCGCTGCCGCCGACGCCAACGCCGCCGTTCCGGCTGGCCACAGTGGCGTGCCTGACCGCGCCGCTGCAACCGCCGCCGCCAGCACACGTTCCGCCGCCGCCACCTGCACCGCCAGCGGCGCTACGGCTGTGTGCTCTGCCGGCAGTAGCGCCACCCGCGCCGGCGACACGGGTCCCGGCGCCGCCGCCAGGCGGTGCAGCATCAGCGCCGCCGCCAGGGACTCACCGCGCTGCTGCAGTGCATGTGAGGCGGCGTGCGGCGGTTGTAGCGCCGTTTCCACGCCGTACAATGATGCCAAAAAGTCCAGCATGCTCGGCAGCCGTACATTCAGAGGCATTGTCGCCGCCACCTCGTTGCCTGGCTCGGCGTCTGGATCTACCAAGCCGTACACCGGGTACGACAGCGTCAGCACGCCTGGCGTCAGCAGCCGCTGTAACGCCCAGCCCGCGAAACGGCCCAACCGCGCCGCCGGCAACGCCGGCAGCAGGACCTCCGTTGCCAGCAATTCGTGAAGTCGAGGATAGTCCAGCGACGACACGTCATCGGCGACGCGGCCGTCCGTCAACGCCTGTCGTATAATCCGCGTCGCCGCGAGGAAATCCCATGCCGTCAACGGCGCCGCCGTCGGCGGCAGGGCGGCGTGTGCTACAGCCCGGTTTATCCCCGCCGTTAGCAGCGCCGCCGCAAACACGTGATTCGCCAGGTCAATGTCCGAGCCGCCCTTGGCGCCAAACACCGCCGCGAACCGCCGGGCGCTCGAATGCGCTACGGTCTGCATAGCCGCCGCGACGGTGGCGCGCAGGCTGTACGGCGGCTGCACCGCCGCCCGCACGCACTGCGCCAACACATTGGGATGCAGCCGGGGCACCGCATCCACAGGCATGGCCAGCAGCAAGCGAAACGTGGTTTCGGAGCCGCGAAGCATGTGTTCCCGCGCATTGAGCTGCTCCAACATCATCGCCAGCGTGTGCGGGCTGGCGTGGGCAGTCAGGAGGAGGAGCAAGGAACCGGAGCGCGCGGCGCGCACGAGCGCGGCCCGCACCTCCCGTCCGGCGGCGGGGTCATCGGGCTGCAGGTGTCGTACAACCACCTCCGCTGCGGCCCAGTGGGAGTCTCTGTGCGGCTCCAGAGTGAAGAGGTGGTTGCTGCACAGAGCCTGGTGGGGAGTGGGGGCAGTACGGGGAGGGGGAGAAAGAATTGGCGGTGTAGGGGGTTGTAGGGGGGTGAGAATGGGTTAAAAGCGGATGTAAGGCCCGGAGGAGGAGGTTGCAAAACCAAAGTTGGGGTAGGAGGAAAGGGTAGGAGAGAGACAGACAGACAGACACACACACATTCTCTCTCACTTGCGCCTGATGTACGACAGCCACGGGGTCCTCCCCTGGCGACATCGCCAGGATGACGGGGACGGCGGGGGGGGAGGTCATCAACACCGCCAGCAGCCGCTCCGCCGGCGTCAGGTCGGCAGCCACAGCGGCGGGCCCAAGTACAGCAGCGGAATAGCTGTCGGCGGCCGCCGCCAGCGCCTCCGGCGCCAGGATGGCCGTCAGGATGAGTTGATAGATTGGTTTCCGCCGCAATAGCTCCCGCCACACGTCGGGTACCTGGGCCATAGCGCTCTGGGACAAGCTGGCGCGCAGGTCTGGACGTAGCCCGCGAGGCATGGCGTCCGCCGCCAACATGGTGTACCACACCCGCGGCGCCGCCGCCACCGCCGCCGCCAGGCCGCTGAGGTCGGCGCCGGCGGCGCAGGTCGCGAGCCACTTGAGGTCCGCCAGGGCCTGCTCGGACGGCCAGGCGGCGGCAGGGCCGCCGGCGGGGGATGCAGCCGCTGACCCGTGGGTCTCCTGTGCGGCGGCCTGCGAGAATAACTGCCGTATGGCGGCGTGCGCGGAGGGGTCCATGAAGGAGGATGAGGTGCCAGGCCGCGAGGATGGACCGCCGCTGGCGCTGGCGGCGGCGCCGGCGGCGGGGACGGCTAGGCTTCCCGTGGCACCATCGGCGCTTGACGAATCCTTGGCTGTTTTTCGTTGCTGCTGCTGTTGCTGCTGGGTCAAAGAGACAGGTTTGGAGGCGGCGGTGGAGCCGCTGCCATAGACCGCCGTTGCCGCAGCGCCGTGCAACGCCGCCTGTGCTGACGGCGAGCCCCTGCCGAGCACGTATAGCGCCAGCTGCGCGTCGTCCACCGTCACCTCCCCCGCCGCCTGTTGCTCCGCGATTGAGAGGAGCAACCGGAACACGAGCCCCTCCGTACGGCCCAACGCCGCCCCCACAAGCGACCACACGAAGGACAGCACCGCTGCCGCCACGTCCTCCATGCGACAGGTCGCGGGCGGCGGCGCCGCCGTCTCCTGCAACAGCTGCTGCGCCGCGGCCGCGGCGGCGGCGTGCAATTCCGCGCCGCTGCCGCCGCCGCCACCACTGCCTGTCCAAGACGTCCAAGCCGAGCTGGCACTATCAGGGCGGAAGCGGCTCGGGGTACGAGCATCGCCTGGAGGTAGCTCGGTGACGGTGCTGGCGCCGAAGGAATTATATCGCGTCACGGTGACGGCGCCGCCGTCAGGCGGCGCCGACGCGCCGGCGGCAAGCATACCACCGTCCCCTGTGCTCGACGTCGGCAGCTCAGAGCCCTCCTCCCCTAGCAGGCGCGCCGTCGATGCCGACGTCGAGACCCCGCCGTCGTCGTCTGTGTCGGCAAAGTACGACGACAGCTGCCCGGAGTCCAGTCGAGACGGCGCGCGGCTGACGCCGCGGCTGACGGCACGACTCGTCGTACGGCTGACGGCGCGCGACGGTGCGCGCGACAGCAGAACCGAAACCAGCGCTTTGGCACTCCGCTTCCGTGCCTCCCCAACGCTCATCTCCGGCGGCGCCGTCGGCCCTTGAAGCTCCCGTACAAGCCCTAGCGTCCCCGGCGTCTCCACCACGCCGCGTCGCAACGCCGCACGGAACATCGACACCAAAACGGTCTCCGGCAATGCCCCGCACCGCGCAGGGTGCGCTCGGGCCAAGTCCTCCAGCACTCCGTGCATTCGCATGACGCCGTCGACCAACGGACGCCAGCGCTCAACCGCCGCCGTCACCTCCGCCAGCGCCGCCTCCATCGCCGGCACCTCCGCCTCGTCCGCGGCGGCCTGATTCGCCTTGGTGACGGCACTGTCCACCAGTCCAGGGTGCGTCCAGATAAGGCCCTTTGTGTGCGCGATCGTAAAGGCGATGTCATCCGTGGCGGCCGCCAGTCGGGCGCGGTGTTGCCAAAGCCTCGTCGCCAGCTGCCGTGCCGCCACCTCGCGCTCGCCAGCTAACGCCGCCAGAAGGGAGCGGGACAGGGAAGCGCGCAGCTCCTCGCCGCGCAGCGCAAAGCACACAGGCGTGGTATACTGATGTACGGCAGGCGGTAACGGCGGCGCCGTCGCGGCGGTGCTGCCGGCGCCAGCGGCGGCGCGCATTCGCAGGTACAGATGGTGGGGCTCGGTGGCAAGGTTTGCGTATGTACGGCGCATAACGGTCTCGTAGCGCTTGCATAGCCGTGCCAGAAGCGGCGCCTCCGCGGGGGTGCCGTACATGTCCACGATGACCGCACGGCCGGCACGTACGGCAGAAGCCATCTGGCGGCGAGAGTGCGCGGCAGTGAAGGGCGACCCCGGGGGAGAAGTGGGGGTGGGTGAGCGGTCCGTAGCATGTGGGACAGGACGGGAGGCGAATGGGGCGGGGCGGGGCGAGAACAGCGGCATGCGATGAGACGGCGGGTCTTGAGGCGTTCGAGGGAGGTTGGAACGGTGAGGCAGGCTGGCGAGGGAACGAAGAGTTTTTAACGACCGCCAAACACACCTTCCCCACCCCTTCCCGCCCGGTATACACATACACACAAACAAATAACAAACAAACAAACAAACAAACACACACACACACGTGTACGCACATGTATACATACATACGCAGGCACACGCCCACCTTGTCAAGCAGTCCATCCTCAGATATCAAATAGAACACTCGGCTGCTCTTCCCGAACATGGCCTTCACGAGGTTGGCGCCCTCCCTGGCGGGGTCCAGCAGCAGGGGGGGCCGACTGGCCATGGCCATGAGCGCCAGGTTGTCACGCCACAGCGGCTGGGTATTGGCGAGCAGGTCGGGGGGAAGTGCGGAGGTCATCTGCGACCAGGCAGGCGAGGGAAAGGGTGTGTGTGCGGGTGTGTGTTAAGGGGGGGAAGGAAGGGAGGGAGGGGGAAGAGTGGTGGTCGTAGGGGTAGGGACAGTGGAGGGGTAGGGGCGGTGGAGGAGATTTCCCAGGGGGGGGGAGGGGGAGGGGGGGTGACGGGAGGCGGAAGGAGCCCTGTCTGGGTCAGCGTTGAGGAGGAGGAGGAGGAGGAGGCGGAGGAGGAGGAGGAGGAGGAGGCGGAGGAGGAGGAGGAGGAGGAGGCGGAGGAGGAGGAGGAGGAGGAGGAGGACAACTGGGGGGTCAGGTACGAGCCGCCCGGGGAAAGGGGGAAGGGTTTTAAGGCAGGGGTCCACCTCATATACACACACACACACACGCTCCACCTCATCACCTGCGCAAAGCGGTCCTCCACGAATGCCGTGAAGTTGAAGGGCGGGGGGCTCACGGGTATTCCCTGCTGCTCCAGGAGGTCCCGCCACAGCCCCAGTACGGCACTGCGCTCCCGGCCGTCTAGCGGCCCCAGATACACCACCGCCGACACGGCCAGCGCGGCCTCGCCAACCAGCGCAGGGAGACGGGCCTCGACGGAGGCCAGGGCCTCGCGCCAACGGGGAAGGAGGTTCTGGGAAAAGGGTACACGACGAAATGGCGACATTTGCAACAAAGTTGGGGTGGGCATTGCGACGTACCATGCCGTACCAGGTCGCAGATAATTCGTGAGGTGCTGGAGCTGTGGAGCTGTGGTCAACAACGAGGGGCGGGTGAGTGCGGAGGAAGGAGAGAGAGCGAAGGGTGGAAGTTGAATCCCCTGCCCGACCCTCCCACATTACCAAACGAACCTAGAGCTCTCCCTCTCTCTCTCCCTCTCTCTCTCCCTCTCTCTCTCCCTCTCTCTTTCCCTCTCTCTCTCTTCCCCCTACCCCCAGCCCCCCACACACACATTCGCAGAAGGCTCTAGCACCCTCTCTCCCTCCCCCCTCCCCCTCCCTCCCCCTCCCTCCCCCTCCCTCCCTCCCCTCCGCCCCTCACCTGCACCAGTCCCGACAGCCGTACGATGTTGTTACGCTGCATATCGTTGTCGCGCAGTCTCGCACTCGCCTCACTGACCTGGTGCTCCAGGATGCGCAAGTCGGCCTGATGTCGGGACAGCTCCAGCTGACCTCCCTTGACCTCACCTCGCAGCCTGAGGAGGGACGGCGCGTGTGTGTGTGTACGTGTGTGTATACGTGTGTGTGTACGTGTGTGTATACGTGTGTGTGGGGGCCGGCGTAGAGCCTAAAGGGAATAGCCGGCGAAGGTTGCGGTTGCGGAGGGGAAAGCGGACCAACCCCATCCGCATCTTTACTCGGCGGCCCCCCAGGCACTCATCCTCCACACAGATGCGTATATATAAAATATAAAATATATACATATATGCATACATACGCACATACATATATGCATACATACATGCACACATACATACATGCACACATACATACATGCATACGCACATACATATATGCATACCTATATGCATACATACGTACAGCCACTTACTTGCGTATGTATGCCTTGGTGTTCTCCAGCCTCTCCTCCCCCTCCCGGATCCTTGCAAGCTTGATGTCGCACTCCTTCTGGGCGCGAAGCAGGGCGGCGAGGCTAAGAACCCACCAGGCCAGGGACTTGGCCGCCACGGAGACCTGGACACATAGACATACATACGTACATACAGGTACATACATTCTGAAGTCGAATGGGGTGAATGGATTAGGGTGCCCCTCTAGCAGGGGAGAGCAGGGAACACTGCCTCCAAGGGAAAGGGGGCCGCTGGTGAAGCTTAACCACCACCCTGTAACGAACGACATACAAGTACTCAGGGAGGGCCAGGGAGGGCAGGTAGAGCAAAGGAAAGCCTCCACGCCTTCAACCCCCAACTCAGCCGCATATACCCTTACATAACCACTACTACACGTCTACCCCTACAACCTCGCAACTCACATACCTCCCGCCACCCCCCCCCACCCCCCGTTCCAATGCCTCCACAGCCCCCCCTCCCCCCCCTGCTATGTGGTCGCACCTGTTCTACGCTGACCAAGTTGAACTCGGGCTCCTGCAGCAGCCGCCCCAGCTTGGCCGCCTGGACAGGGGTCACACCCCGCACGTCGAAGTCCCGCAGCCGGTCCACAAGCTTGGGGTTCTGCTCACCCAGCAGCCGTTGGGCGTTGCGCCAGTCGGTTGGCCAGTCAAACAAAATACACAGCGCCATAACCACCAGACGGACCAGCACGTGGGGTTCCTTGTACGACCGGATCTCCGCGAGATCCAACTCGCTTAGGCCGCCCACCTGGGGGGGGGGAGGGGGAAAGGGGGGTGAAGCAAGGAAGGGCGGAGAGGGCGAGGAGTGTTGGAGGGATGTGTATGTTTTTGGGTGTTGTGTGTGTATGTGTATGTTTGTCTGCATCCTGGCGTCCTGTTATGCAAAACGGCTCAAGTCTCATCAGTTGTCTAATAACCGAAATAAATCCGGAGACGGGAGGAGAGGGGAGGAGAGGGGAGGAGAGGGGAGGAGAGGAGGGAAGAGGAGTCTGGAGACGTACTTTCCCTGCCTGCCTACCTGCTTTTCCTTTCCTCCCCCACACATCAGCGCACCTGCCCCAACCACGCATCGCCGTATTCTCTACCTCCACGGCGCGTGTGTGTTTTAAACACAAGTTCCACGGGCACCAAAACCCACACACATCTCCCTCGTCCCCCCCTTCCGCCCCCGCGCTTCACACCCCTCCGCCCCCTCCCTCCCGCCCGCCGCCCCCTCCCTACCTCCTCTATCGCCTTCTGGAACCGGGTCCTGGCCGCTGACTTTACCTCCTCCACCTCCTTGTGCACCTGGTCCACCACCGCCTCGGTGGCCTCAGCCCGAGCCTCTTGATCCGCGAGCTCGGTCGAGGTCTCCGACACGAACTGCTCCAGGTGGCTGAGCTGGCTGCGAATGACCTTGAGCTCCTGGGGCGGGGAGGGAGGGGTTGGAGGGGGAGGTTGGCAGGAGCGGGCGGGTTTGACGTGCGGGGGCATGTGTGTGAATGTGTAAAGGTGTGTGTTGAAGAGGAGCAGGGCCGGGGGTGCCCTTGGTGTTGTAGTTGCGCCACCTAACTTAGTGGGGCGAGGTGGAATTCGCCCTTCCCGAGTGAAGGGGACGAAGGGCGGGAAGTGCCATTTACGATACCGACCGTACGATAAAGATCCGGAACCCGCCACCCCCCACCCCCCACCCTGTCCCTCAACCCCCCACCTTCCCGGTTCCCCCACCTCTCGGCTGCCCGTCATGAACCTGTTGAGCTCCTCCATGCTCTCAATACACGCCGCCAGCTGGGCGTCGCTGGTACTCAGCTTGGCCAGACATACATACAGGGTCGCCTGACGGGCCTGGAGCACCTTGCGGTGGCTGCTGTGAACCAAACCCAGCATGTGGACCAAGTCGGATACCTGATGGGGGGAGAGGAGGGAAAGGGGGGATTTAGGGGATGGGGAAGCGGGGGCGTGTGTGCGGGAAGGAGGAGGAAGAGCAGGGGGAGGTGAGTTAGGTAGAGAAATCTGTATCAGGGCTCGGATGGGAGGCCGACCCACGGGTCACCGCCTCCCCATCCTCCCACGGCTCCACGCAGCACAAAGTAAAACAAATCTGGACCCCCAATCCCCCCTGTACTATGGACTACCCACCTTGGAAAGCGGTAATGATGCCCCCGGGTCCAGCAGTCCCATCTGCCGGTACAGCTCCTGTGCCTGTGCGTGTATGGCCACCGCCACCTCCCCCACCCGCCGCAGCAGCTCGGTGTCCTCACGCGCCCGCTGCCGCGCCGCTTCGCGCTCCTCCGCCGCCGTCTTGGGTCTCCCCGGTATCAACGCCGACATGCGCTCACTCAGCGTCACATTGCGTTTGATACCGCGGGATTCCGGACTGGGGGACCGCGACGGGGCGCGGCCGAAGCGGCGGAGGCTGGCGGCGGCGGCGGCGCCGCCACCGCCGCCGCCACCGCTAGCGGCGGGGCTGCTGGCGTCGCGCGGTGGGCTGCTGCTGCTGTTGCGGCTGCTTCCCCAGGGGGAGGTGCGCTCGAAGTCTTCCGGTTCTGGTACCCCGGGCAGTTGGGGGGTGGATATGTGTAGGGGCCCTCGTTGGGGGATGGTGTTGTCGGCGACGTGGGCGGCCAGGTTGCCAAGGGCCTCGGCGCAGCTGTATCGGCGGGGGGAGCAGCAGCAGGGGCAGTAGCAGCAACAGGTATTTGGGAAGACGGGGTAGGAGAGGAGTTGGGATCAGGACGGTCGATTGCAGCATAAAGACAGGGAGACAGACAGACAGACAGGCAGACAGACAGGCATACCATCCGATAAACAGTGCGACCTCCCCTGTCCGTCTGGGCCTTCCTTTCCCTGGGCCCCTTCTTGGCATACATACATAACACAATACCTGGCCTGCTGATCTTCAACGGTGGGGTCAGCGGCCGACATGGGAGTCAGTGCCGCCGCCAGGGCCGGGTAGCGGCTTCGGAGCCGAGCCCACGTGGCAGGGCTGGCGGTCAGAAGGAACCGCAGCCCCGAAACCACACGGGACGAGCAAAGCACCTCCAGCTCTGCGCGGGATTGCTCAGCCTGGCGCAGCTCCAGAGCTCGCGCGACACCGTACGACGAGCTGTCGCCCTCGGACTTCATGGGTGGAATCGTGGAGAGCTGCTGCTGCGGTAGCTGCTGCTGCTGCTGCTGCTGCTGCTGCTGTTGCTGTACGGCCACCTCCTCGCCGTCAGGCATGTAGCCGGAGTTCGTCAAGCTGGGCGATGTCGCGGTCGCGTTGCAGTCAGCGAGATCCAAAGCATCACCACCCAGCGTCACCGCAACACCATTTGTCGTACCTCCGCCGGCGGAAGCCATGCCGCTGGCGGTCCCAGCTCGCCGCCGAGCATTCCCCGTCGGCGCAAACATCCTACCCAGCATCGCTTTCGTCATGCTTGTACGACCCGAGCCGCGACCGGCTTCGCCACCGCCGTCCTGCGACGCGTTGACCTGTCCGCTGCCTGTCCCGGTGCCTGTACTGCTGCCGCCGCCAGCGGCGACTCCCCCGGTGGCGGCGGAGGCCAGTAGGGTCCCCAGCTCTCCGTCCACCACCACCGGCTCAAGGCCTTTGAGGAGCGGCAGGCCGGCGGCCTCGTGGAGCTCCCGGCATAGGGCCCCGGCGGCGGCGGGGCGGACGAGCAGCGTCTGGAGGAGCTCCAGGGTGGGGTCATCCTATGCGGGAAGATTGCAGAGGCGGGCAGAAAGGGGGAGAAACGGACGCCGGGCATAGGAGAGGGCCAGAATGGATGGATGGATGGATGGATGGATTGCACGGGTCGATTCGACCATTCCTTAATCATCACGAGGGCCGAAACGACGCAACGCGTACCTGCAGCATGCCGTCGGTGATTAGTAAGATGTGTAGTGAAGATGTGCCAGGACCGCCAACCTCAGCCTCCGGTACCGCCACGTCAGCGGCGGCGGCGGCGGCGGCGGCGGCTCTGTCCGTGCCGGCAACCCCGCCGCCACCGAGGCCTGCCCCCCCAGCTGGCGTTACCAAGGTGACGGCGTCGGCTTCCCCGGGATCGATGTACGGCACGCCAGGTACGGCAAAGCCGCCGGCCGCCGCCGCCATGGCCTGCGAGTAATACCGTGGGGTGCCTGCAACGGCGGCGGCGCCGCTACCGCCGCCGGGCGGCTGCACGACATGCAGCAGATGCTGCACCAGCAGCTGCCGTAACGCGAAATCCTCAGGCGGCTGCCCGGGCATGCCGCCGTTGCTGCGGTGTACGGGCGGCCGGCTGACGCGGATGATGGCGTTGGCGCCGGTGGCTAGGGCCGCCAGGCCAGCAGTGTGCTCCAGCATGGCCGTGTTACCACCAACCAGGACGACGTTCCCGCCGCAGAAGTACCCGCAGTACAGCGCCGCTGCCGCCGGCCTAACCATCTCCGCGTACCCCCAATGCCCAGACGCATCCTCCAGAAGCGCCAGCGACAGCGGCCCCATGTTGCATCGCGGCAGCGATTTCTTCACGTCACCTGGGCTAAGCGCCGCCACCGCAGCGGCGGCGGCGGCGGCGGCCGCTGCAGCGCCTGTGGATGGTGTTGATGTCCCGGTGGCGGCACGAAGGTCGTCGGCGCTGCGGTTGCTCCCGGTGCCCCGGGTTCCTCCTCCTCCGCCGCCGCCGCCGTCGTCCTTTAACGGATCGCGGATGTGCGCTGCCAGCAACGAACGCACCAGACGCAGCAGCGCAGGATGACCCAAAGGCCGACGGACAATCCAACCAGCGGCCCCAGGATCCGGTCCGTACGACTCCCCCGCCGCCCACGGCGCCGTCGCCGTCAGCACAGGGCCCCCGGTTGTCGCGGAGCGCAGCGCGCCGCCGCCGTCGACAGGCCAGAATAGGCCCTGATCGTCCGGCATTTCGGCCGGGTCGTCGTACACAGGCATCGAACCCACCAACGCCCCTAGTAACAAATCAATCTCCCGGGGAGGAATGCGGCCCGCCAGGCTAACACGCAGTGACCGGAGGTCGGCAGCGCCTCGCCCCGAGTAGTCCGCCCAGGTTGCAAGGACCTCTAGCGGGTCGCTGACCGCCGCCGCCGCCGCCGCCGCCTTTGACGGCGGCGTCGCATAGCGACCCGCTTGAGGTCCTTGGGCCGCCGCGTCACCACCGCCGCCGCCTGCCGTCGGCACCGGCGGCGACGCGACGTGCGGAGCCGCAGCGTGCAGGTGCTGCTGTGCCAAAGCCGCCGCTGGCGGAGGCGCCGCCGGTGTATCCAGCACCTCCCGCGCACCCGCCACCGCCTTGTCCAGGCGACCCGACGCCAGTGCGCCCAGATGTCTGCCCATGGTCTGTAGTAGCAGCTTCGCAAGGGCCTCCCTGGAGGCGTTATCGGACAAGTGGCCCATGACGGCGCGGCCCACCTCAAAGGCCAGGCGTTGCAACACTTCACGTAAGCCCCACGGCCCAACAGACCCACGGGTCGCATCACCCTGAGCGGCGGCTTTTCCGGCGGCGGCGCCCACGACGCCGTTCGAAATTGCGACTGCGCCGCACAGGCGCCGTACGACTCCGCTGACCGCGGCGGTGTCAAAATGCCACAGCGCCGGCGTCACGCCGGCATGCGTCAGCGCCGCCACGTTACGGCAGACGCTCTCCAGCGTCGCCGCCAGCACCGTCGCCGCCGGCGCCAGCGGCATCCCTTGCACTTCCGGCACTCCGCAATGGACCAGGTGCGCGACGGTGTGCTGCGCCAGCGCCAGCATCACCGCCGGCCGGCTGAAGACGGTGGTGAGGCTGCCGACATGCGGCTTATCCGACCCGTGGGTCGCAAAGTCGGTGGCGCAGCGCGCCGCGGCGTCCACGTGGATCTGCGTCAGGTGGCGGCGCAGGCGGCCGGCCATTTGCTCCGCACCACTCATCAGGCCGTGCGGTGTGGAGGTGGCGGCGAAGGAAGTACCTCGGAGTGCAAGCCTGGGGTCGAAAGGTGTACGACAGGCGGCGGGGCGGGACGGCGGGGAGGGGGGGAAGATGAAGGGGAGAATGGGGCCAGTGCGCAAAACTGTGTCCTACTTCTCGCAAGGGTAAATTGGAGGGCGGGACGGGGAGTGGGTGGCGGGGGTAAAGCGGGGGTAGTGGGTGGCGGGCGAGAGGATGCTGCACTGCGGGCTGCTCCTTTCTTCATACAACAATACTGGACATACATACAGAACCAAAGCAACCGCCCCAAAGGACAACAGAGACAAAACACATTGGCCGCCACGACCCGGACCCGAGCCGGACCCGACCACCACCACCACCACTACCACCACCACCCGGCACCAGCGGCGAGTGGTGAAGAGTCAACAGCTCTTAGCGCGCTTGCCTGAGCCCGGACACGGGGTCTCGTATCGCCTGCTCGCCCAACGCATGACGGAGCCACTCCAGGGCCGCCGTCTTGACTTCCACTTCGCAGCCTGCAGCAGCAGCAGCCGCAGGCCCCGCCACCGCCGCCGCCGCCGCATCGCCGCCGCCCGCCGCCTGCGCTGCCGCGGTTAGCTCCCCCGCACGGCGCCCATCGAAATGACCGCCCGTCACCGCCGCATTCAAATCCTCCACCACTACCACCAGCCTGTGGCCCGGAGTGGGTCGAAGCGACCCGCCGGCTCCCGCCGCCAAGTGCCACATCACCGCCGCCTGCAGCGCCGTCGGCGACGCCGCCGCGCACGCCGGCACTACCACCACTGTCGCACGCAGCTGCTGCAGCGGCACCGTCGCCAATAAGTGGTGTAGTAATGTACGGCGGCCGCTACCTGGCGGCCCCACCAGCACCGGATTACCCCCCCCCTGGAGAACCAGCTGGGCCGCGTACTGCAATGCCTGTGTGGCGACGCTGGGTACGAACAGCTCCAAAGACCCGGCGCCGCCGCGCACGTCGCGGTAGTAGTGGAAGGCGACGTCGGGCGAGTCGCCGCCACCGCCGCTGCCGCCGCCGTCGCCGCTGCTACTGCCGTTCAGCAGCGGCAGCGGCACCGCCGGCACAATGCCAGGCCGGTCGGCTGGCAGGCTGTGCAGCGTAGCGGACCACGGCACCCACACGCCGCGCTTGGGGGCCACCAGCCAGGCCGCCAGAGAGCCACCTAGAGGCAGCGCCATGTGCAGTTCGGCGGCGGCAGCGGCGTCGCGTACGGCAGCCTCGACGGCGGCCCGCTGGCCGTGGCCCAGTACTTGCCCCGCTAGTGACCAGTAGCAAGAGAACATGGCGCAACGTGCGAGTGCCAGCTCCAAATCCGCGGGCTGCGCGAAGGTGCGGGATTCGGGGGCGCGTAGGAGTAGGAGGGGGGGAAGGGAGGCCCATAGCACCCGTGTCAGGTCGCAAGGAATCGGCAAGAGGGGGTGGTGAGAGGGAGGGTAAGACGAACCAACCACTGCCGAATGGAGCAGATACCAAAGATAGATAGACGGGTAGTCCAGGAGAAGTTATAAACGCTGAATCAGGAAAACATTTCTGAGAGGGAGGGGATGAGGCCCGGCCCGCCCCGCACCCACCTGTTGGTTCCACGAGGCGGACTCCGCCGGCACATCCAGCGACTTGACCACCTCGCCAAACATGGTGGTCAGCTCCGAAACCAGGGTCAGCCCGGTCGGGGGCCCGTGGTTGCCCCGCTCTGGCTCCCGCGTCCGCCGCATGACGGACTCGCAGCCGGACACGGCGGTGAATAGCAGTGACGTCAGTCGCCGTACAAAGCGGGGGGACACCAGCTGGGCCTGAGGGAAGGGAAGGGGGGATGGAGAGGAGGGGGGGTAGCTTAGCGGAACTTAAGAGGGGAGGCAGTGAAAGTAAGTGTGTTTTTGTGTGGGGGGGGTGGGGGGTTGGGGGGAAGGCACCCGGTGAATGTGTGTGTATATGTATGTCGAACCGCCGTGTTGCCATGCATACATACATGCATACAGACGCGCATGATGTGCGGAGGGCGTGCATTTCTTCGTGCGTAAGCAGAGAGAGAGATGTTGTACGGCAAAGCGCTCCAGAACCCACGACTCTTTCGCCCGTACTCACCATGCCTTCTTGCTTCACTATCCCCCGTACGCCCGCCAACACCGCCGCCTCCGCGTCCCACACCCCCGCGCCACCGCCGCCGCCAACATGCACCACCGGCATCGCCGCCAGCAGCGCCGGTGATGCCGTCGCGAGATCCGACGTCTCCCACAAGCAGCTGGCAGCGCCCGTCAGCTCCACCACCGCGCCGCCGCTACTCAACACCGTCGACCGACTAAGCAGCAACGCCGCCAAACGGTCCGCTCTTGCCGTACCCAGCGGCCCGTCGAATACGACCCATTTTGGCGAGCTTCCAACAATCGTCGCCGACCCAGATTTCACATTCGCGCCCTCGGGCCGCCGCCGTAAAACCCAATGGAGGGCACCCTCCAGGCGGCGGAGCAGCCAGTCCGTAGGGAAGCGGCCGTCGGCACCGACGGCGCCGAGGGTGTCGGCCCTGCCGACGCCGCTGTCGCTGGCGCCGAGCTGCAGCCGCGGCGCCGGAAGCGCCTCGCTGTACACATGCAGCACCTCGTCGGGCGACGCAAGAGCCTCCGGGCCGTGTGTCGCCGCCACCAGTGCCTTCCAAGCTGCGCTCTTGCCGCAACCCGGCGGTCCGACGACCAGGACGGCTCGGTGCGACAGCAGCGCGTCGTATATTGACGCAGCGGCGGCGACCAGCAGCGGCGGACTGGCGTACGCCAGCGCCGCCAGATGGTGCTTCCAGGCTGGCTGCGGGGATGGGATCGCCGCAGGCTCTGACGCCGCCGCCGCCGCCGCCCCGCCGCCAGCCGGCTGTTGCTGCAGTGCCTGTGCGGCCGCTGCTGCTGCCGCCGCGGCGGCGGCGGCGGCTCCTCCGCCGACGCCACGGCGACGCAGCGGTGATGACGGTGCGCCACCTCCGACGCCGTGGTCGCCGCTGCCGGTGGTGCGCCCACCGCCAAACCCCTGCTTGCCCTGCCGTGGCCCAGTTGCCGCATCCGTATGGTGTGCCGGCGGCAGGCCCATCATCTCCCGCGCCGTGGCGAGTACGGCATGAAGCGCCTCGCGAATGTTAAAAGTCGTCGTCGGCGGCGGCGGCGGCAGATTCAGTGTCAGGCTGCCGATACTGCCGATAGCGCCGCTGGCGCTGACGCCGCCGCCGCCGCCCGGCGGCGGCGGTCCAGCGGCCTGCTCCGGCGGCGGCGGAGTGCGCTGCGCAAACCCTACCACTTGATCTAGCAGCCGTGTTAACATGCCGAGATCTTCCGGATCCGCTGCCGGCAGTACGACAGCTCTCATGGCCTCATTCAAGGCGTCCAACGCACTCCCACCCACGAGAGCATGCGTTGCGGAAGAAACGGCGGCGGCGGCGGCGGCGACTTGTCCCGGTGTGACGGAAGAAGCAGCCGCAGGGGTGCCCCCAGATGTGTGGCCGCCGCCGCCGCCGCTGCCGTACAACCACTCCCTGTGAATGTATATCAGCATCGCGCGGACGGTGACGGCGTCCAACCTCAGCTGCGGAGGCGATGCTAGTTGTACGGCAGCCAGCCTGAACCAGCATGCCGCCGCGCGCGCCGCCTCTGCGGCGTCACGCAGGCCGGCGCAGCGGAGGCCCGCCTCTAGCGCTACCGCCAGGTCAGCACTATGCAAGGTCACGGCACGGCCGGCGCGGCGGGCCGCCTCGCACAGCTCATGCGGGAAGGGACCCCGCATCTGACTCGACTCGGTCAGGAACGCCGTCGCCGCGGCGGCGGCGCCGGGCGCATCGCTGAACGGCACAAGTGCGTCGTGCGATGCGGGCAGGTACGCTGCCAGCGGCAGCGCCAAGAACACCCCTGGCGTCGGACGTACGACGCCTGCCGCTGCGCCACCGCTGGACGTGGACGCCGATGCGTTTGCAGCAGCCTCCCGGCCTCCCCGCAACGCTGACGGCGGTGGAGGGGACGCCGCCGCCGCCGCCGCCGCCGCCGCCACCGCTGCCGACGTGTTGCCCTGACCACCACCTCCACTTGCCGCTGCGCCGCCGCTGTCCGGCCGGGCCCTGCGGCCCTGGCCCGCTGTGCCGCTGCCGCCGCCAGCACCCCCAGATGCCCACGGCGAGCGAATCGACTCGCCGGCTATCTGAATCTGCGGCTGACGGCTCGCCGCCGCCGTCAGCAAACCCTGTAGCAACTCACTGAGCGCCGACAGGGCCGCCAGGCCCAGCAGCTCCGTGCCGTCAACGGATACCCAGGCATTGAGCTGTACGGCAGTGGCCAGCGTGCGCGCCATGGCGGCGGGGGATGTGGTGGAGTCCCACGCCACGTGCATGTGCAGACGGCCAAGCAAGGAACACAGCCCCCGTACGGCGCTGACGGGGCTGCAGGCGCCCTCAGCTGAAGGTCCAGCAACAGGAATACACACAACGGGGGCAGCCGCGTGTGGGGTTGTGAAGGGGGGTTTTGGCGGGGGGAACAGGGCCAAGTAGGTGTACGATGATGCAGGAAAACAAAACACAACAAGCGAGCTAAGCTATAGAGGAGGGCGACATGCGGTTTGAGATAAGTTATCAAGTAAGGAAGGGCCGTCGTCCGCTGTCAGATGTTCGATGATCTCGTCATCTTGTTAGGCGAATGTAGGTGAACCGGTTCCCAGCTGCCTGTCTCTCCGCAGGTAAGGTGGGCCTTATTCTGGGCCGTACACACTGTGTCCTACACAGCCAGATTACACAGCCAGGCCAGCTTACCTCGCACCAAGGACACCACTGGGGAGGCTTGCAGCGCGCTCACCGCCGCCAGCAGCGACGGCACGCTCATGGGCAAGGCCATCTCCACAAGATCCTGTGCCGTACCGTCGTACTCAAAACCGTACTCGTGACGCTGCGTGCCGAATGCCAGCTCGATCGCAGCGCGCTCCGCGTCCCAGTAATGCCGTACGTTTCGCTGCCAGTCGAACGAGTCGGGGCCCGCCACTTCCGCTCCGATGAGCTCTTCGACCACTTGTCGATGGCAGATGCCCGCCGCCAGGAGGCGCTCGATGCCGCGAATCGTCTGTCGAGCCATGGCCACCGGAGCCGCGGGCGCTTCAACACCAGCCGTCACATCATGCAAAGATAAAACAATTGAAGTACGGCGACGGCGGAGGAAAATTGGCGGAGAGCCGGGACCCGTGGCGTGGCCGGTGCTGAGGGCCAAGTAAGGACCTGCACCCACTGGCTCGCCGTCAACGTCGACTGCGGGTACGGCCGCCGCTGCGGCCGCCGTCGCCGCCGCTGCCGCGGCGGCGGCAGTCGCTGCCGTCGGTGCCACTAGGAACGCCGGCATCCTCGGCGGCCCCGCATGCAGCGGCGGCGACGGCGGCGCCGTCGTGCTCAGTCGCGAGCTACTGACGCTTGCCATGGATGGCGACGCCGCCACTCCTGGTGGCTCCATCAGCTCGCCGTCATCCGTGGGATCATCACCGCCGTCGGAGCGGGCTGACGGCGCCGCCGCCGCCGTGGCGGCACCCACGGCCGTCAGCGCCGCGCGCTCTGCCCGTCCCGTCAAGTCCTCGACCTGTCGTCCCACCGGCAGATGGCCGTACGCATGATTCGGCGTGCTTCCGTGTCCCTGGCTCCAAGCGGTGCCTGGCGGCGGCGGCGGCGGCAGCGGCGCCGCCGCCGCCACAGCGACCATCGCACTGCGGAGCTGCCGCGCCATGGTCTCCAGCCGCAACACCGATTGGTCCAGCAGGTTTCGTAGCGCCGCGCGCTCCCCCTGTGCCGTACGCTCCAGGGTCGCTGTCACCGTCTGCGTCCACACCACCGCATCAACGAGCATCACACACTGGCTGGGAAACGACGCCACCCACACATCAGGCGACATGAAGCCGCAGGCCGCCAGGCAATCCCGTGTGTGAGCCGCCAAAGAGGACCGAAGCTCAGCCTCCAGGGCAGCCAGCCAGATCTCCAGGCGCAGCGGAGCTGCGGCGCCGCCGCCGCTTGGTACGGCAGCCGCCGGCAGCGGCTGGCGCAGGTTACAGACCTCTCCGTTGGCACCCGCGACGGCCACTACCTCCGGTACTGGGGGGGCCATGTCCTGGTTGAGGGTACGGCAGAGAGGGTACGACAGGGGGCCCGTACGGCAGGTGAAATTAGTGGAGGTGACGGCGTCGGTGGTGGCACGGAGGGGAGAGGTTGGGGAAGGCAGGGGGGTACCGATCGGGGACGTTGGAAAATAAACACATACCTCCACGCAAGCGATGCCTCCTTTCCCCACCCCCAGACACGTACTCACACACAGGCACACAGGCACACAAGTACAAAGGCACGCCGCGTCCAGGTGCCAAGTCCTGGCAGCGTTGGCGTTACATCCCCACGCGTCCCCCGACCCGATGGACGGACAGACGCACCACTCCCGAACTCCCATTCCCCTCCCTACAAAACCCCAACCCCAACCCCAACCCAACACACTACCCCCCTGTACCCACCAGCTCCATGTGTTTGTGCGTCCGCATGTGCAGTGCCTTAGCCCCGCCGTACAGCCCTTCCAACAGCGCTGGCGGCAGGGCCTCCACCTCATTGCCCACCGCCAGCGCCGCCATCAGCACCTCATCTCCCACCAGCCACAACCGGGGGTAGCTCTCGCGGAGCCCGGGCAACACGGCTTGGGCGCAGCTGCGCCGCATGGCCTCGAACCCGGCAAGCAATACACGGCAATCCTGAGGGGGCAGACAGGGGGAATGATGATGATGATGATTTAGGGGGCTTCCGGCCCCCATGCGCCTGTGAGTGTCAGCCGCAAAACACACACGTCATCGTCATGTACCGGCTCCCCCCGCCTACCCCCTTCCTCCTGTCATGCTTTCCCCACCTGCCCCGCCGCCACCTCCTTCATTTAACACTCAGCTTTGTACCGACCCCCCTCCCCTTTCTCCAAGCCACGTTCGGGCACAGAATCCCCCCCTCCCCCCCCCTTCTCTCCCAGCATAACCATTTCCCCCCCTCCCCCCCCCTTCTCTCCCAGCATAACCATTTCCCCCCCTCCCCCCCCCTTCTCTCCCAGCATAACCATTTCCCCCCCTCCCCCCCCCCTCCCTCGTCGCCAACCTGCAGCGCCACGGCCGCCCCGGTGAGTGTGGGCTGCTCCATGGCCGCCATGTTCAGTTTCCTCCATGCCGTACCCAGCAGCTCCAGGGAGGAGGCCGCCTCGGGACAGGCCTCCGAAACCACCGGGTTGTGGAGCAGCTGGTTCATGTAGATCCATAAGTCCAGGCAGGCGGAGGCGTCCTGCAAGGGGGGCAATGGTTGGGTTGGTTGGGAGGAGTTGGGAGGAGTTACATACATACATGCATACACACATACATACATACACACAGGCAGGATGGGGTGAATGGATTAGGGTGCCCCTCTCGCAGGGGAGAGCAGGAAACTGTCTCCAAGGGAAAGGGGGCCGCTGGTGAAGCTATACCACCCTGTAACACACACCTGCAAGCTCCTCTGCACCCCCCCGAGCAGCTGCTCCACACGCTCAAACTCCCGCAGCACTCCGCAGTAGAAGGGACTGCGCTGCACCCCGCCCAGCTCCGAGACCAGGGCAGCCAGGGCGGCCAGCACCTGGGGCAGGTTGGTAGGGGTGAAGGAGTTCCAGGTCCGGCTCTGGCTGTACGTGAGGGGTATGGCCTGCATGCGCTCCTGTATCGACCGGAGCCAGGAAACCAGCTGGGCCTCGCCTAGGGCGACCTGAGGGTAACGGCGGGGGGGGGGGGTTAAGGGGTAAAGGGGTAAGGGGTAAGTCATATGCAAGGAGAAACAAAAAGGGGCGTTGTGCCGCCGACATGCGTGTCCAAAACACACACGTCCAAAACACACACCCTAGCTGCTGTGCGAGTCAAAGGAGGGGGGCCCCAGGGGGAGATTGATGTGCAAGGAGGGGTTTTTGCAAGCTTGTGCCATACACACACACACACACACACACCTGCGAAATCCGCATCACCAAAGCTCGTGTCGCCGCCGACTCGCTGCACGCTGTCACCAGGTGCGCCAACGACGTCCGTCCCGCCGCCGCCGCGATCGCCGCATCGTCCTGCCGTACATGCGTCGGCAACGCGGCGTACGGGTTCTGCATCATCCGCATCGGCGCCCCGAGCTCCGAACCAAACAGCCCTCCTGCTCCGCCGCCGCCGCCGCCGCCGCCACTGCCGGCAGCGGCGGCGGCCGCTGCCGCCGCCGTCTGGTGCGCCGCCAGCCATCCCAGCAGGGTCCGCAGGTGCCTCGGCTTCACGGCCGGGCGCACCAGCTGCTGCGCCATGGGCAGCATATCCTGCCAGGACTTAGCCAGGAGGCTAAGGTGCGCTCCTAACTTCTGTTCGGAAGATGTGACGGTGCGAGTGCTGGTAAGGTCGTCGTCTACATGGAGTGACTGTGGGCGGTGGGGGAAGGGCCGGGGGGGGGAAAGGGGGAAGTACGGGGCAAGGTGGGGGGAGATGGGGGTAAGGGGTCATCGGAGCCGTGTGTATTTATGTGTTTTATGGATATGTGTGTGCGCCCCCCGCTGTAATTCCATGGCAGCGAGTCGTCATACATACAGCCCCACGCGCCGCGCTCACTTATGGGAATACACCGTGTGAAAGTAATTTTTCTGCAAGGCCCTCACTTCACCTCAACCACACACCTCACCTCACACCGCACACACACCTCTTCCCCCCGTTTCCCCCCTAATCCTTTTCACCTCCCTCTCGCCAACCCTATATAGGACCCACCACCCGACTCAGAGCCCGAAGCCACTGCAACGAAACAGATATAGATTAACTAAAAAACCCAGCCCCAAGAACCCCATATCGCATACATACTTACACACACATACATACATACACATACATTCATTCATACATACGTGATCTCACCATAATCTGTGTCGCGTGCATCCGTATCCTCGCCACCTGGTCCGCCAGCTCAACCGTCAACCGTTCCCGTTGACTATCCGTACACGGCACCTCATACAGCTCGTCCAAAAACCGCCGCCAGTCCGCAAGCGCCTCCCACAGCGCCCGTCGCGCCGCCAGTACGCCGCGCGCCGCCGCCAACTGACTTTCCAACGACGCTACCAGACTGGTGGTTGAGGGTTGCGTCAGCAGTCGGGCCCAGCTGCTGTGCTGCTCCGCCACCGCCGCCAGTGTACGGAGGCCCTCCGCCAGGCCGTCGAGGTGCTTGGCAACCTCCGCGGCGTTGGCGGAGGGGTCGGTGGAGGGGCCGGTGCGCAGCTGAAGCAGTACGCCTTGGAGGGAGTTCCCCGACTGACGTAGGTGGGGTTGGGGGTTGGGGGTTGGGGATTGGGGTTGGGGGTTGGGAACAGGAGACGAGGAGACGAGGGGTCGACGGGTTATTGGAGTTTTGGGGTGCTCCTTAGCTGCGGCACTCGTCACCCACTACACCGTATTACTACGGCTCCAACCCCACCCCGTCCACACCAAAACTCCCCCCCACATACACACATCCCCCGACACACGCACATCCCCCGACACACACATACACACATACATACACACACGCAGCATACATACATACACACACACCTCAATCTACTCCAGCCCTCCACCCCTCAATCACCTCAATCAATGACGTCTTCAGGTGCGTCACCATCAGCGCCGCCGCCGCCTGGAAGTACTCCGCCGCCGCCCTGGCCTCGTCCAGGTATGTGGCTACAGCCGCCTGCAGGCCCTCCCACGCGGCCCGTACCTTGCGGCCCGAGGGGGGCTTGCCGGGCTCAGCCATCTCGTCATCCTCGTCCACGTTCTGTGAGGCCGCCCAGTAGAGGGGGTGGTAGAGGGTGGGGGTGCTGGCGCGGCCGTTGGAGCCCGCGGCACCCGACCTGTGTACGGTATGTGTGTGTGTGTGTATTGGGGTTAGGGAGGGGTTTTGGGGGGAGGCAACGGGGGGGAAAAGGTGAAGGCGGGGACTGGGTGGGGAAGAGGGAAATGGACTGGCATACGATGGGATAGGGCGGGGGGGAATGCGGGGGGAAGAGGGGGGAAGAGG